ATACTAACGACGAGGACTATGAGGAAAGAGGCAAAGATGAGGAAGCAAAGAAACCAAAGAAGGAGCAAGAATCCGGTGGGCTGTTTGGTTTCTGGAAGTCGAAAGATAAGAAGCCCGAAGTAATAACTAAAGAATACCAACCATCCAGTACGAAGTTTGAGGGTCCACTTGATGAAATAGACCGAGAAAAAGACATCGAAAAACTTCCATTCAAAGCTCCCCCACCTGTGCCTTATAAACCTAAATCACTTAAAAAACGGGAAGAAGAGCAACCACGACAGCCTGCGAAAACACCATCTCCTGATAAAACACGCACAACTTCTCGGCCTCCTCAGCTGTTTGGTAGATGGCGTCATGAAGGTGACGAAGAGACGATTGATAAGGACAAAGTACGATCTGAAACATATGGAAGATCTGCTGTCCCTTATAATGGACCTCTTGATGAGACTTCTCGGCAGTCTGAGTTGGAACACACTCCATTGCAAGAACATGCTCACGCTTATCACCCTGGACAGTCATGGAACGATTCCAGAGGTGGGAAGGCACCTAGTGGCCACGAACATCATCCCGGTCCAACTAGGGGAGTACTTCATCTGGATGCGTCTCCCGAAAGAGAGACGGAAGAAGAGCGAAAGATCCGATTGATTGCCCGAGTCAAACATGAAGGTGATGATGACCAGGAAGCTACTGGTCACTTGGATCTACGACCAGCTGGTTTGAGTGAGCATGATACGCATCCAACAAGGACAGGCGTACCTCCCCCTCAAGAACAAGAGCTTCATCTGAAATCTTCTCCACCTGAAAAACGACCACCTAGTCTTATGACCGATGCCGAAGAAGCTCGCATTGCTCGTCTCATTAATCGGTCGAAGGATAAAGGAATAACTCGCAGTTCTGGTATTACACGAATGGGATCAGGAGAACGTAGTTCGACTGAAGGAGACTCCGGTGATAGAGCTCAGAAAGAAAGCAGTCCCATCTACCGTAGCTTGATTAGCGGACGTGATCCAGCTGACAAAGGATTCGATACTGGTCATACTGTTGGAGAGCGCAGTACTGCTCCCCGATTACCTGATCCTCCCCGAAGAGAGTATACTGGCAGTCTCGCTACCGAAAGAGAGCGCAGTTCTGCTTACCGAAGACCTGATCCTGTCCCGAGGGACTATACTGCCAGTTCTCTTACCGACCGAGATCGTAGTCCTCCTTACCGAAGTATGGTAGGGGATGTGACACGAGAAAGTGAATTTCCGACAAGACATACAGCTGTAACTGCGACTTTCTGGAAGAGGACTATCACAACAAATAGCGGTTCGAACATTGTAGAGTCATATCAATCAGACTCTAGGAGATCACCCGGGAGAGAACAAAACTTAGTTCTTGAAACATCGAGGCCGTCCCAACCCACGGGACGTGCACCGGCTGCAACCGGCATGCCCTCTGATCGTGATCCTCCACCGGATTACTCATACCGTCCGGACGACAAAGATCAACGTCCTGAAGGTGCTGGCACTTCTGCTTATGGTACACGAGCTAGATCGGGCTCTTATTCGATGTGCGGCAAAGATTTGCCAGCTGTCGTTGATACTACCACCTATGGTCATGATGCTGCTACTGCTCAAACTCCTAATTATGGCACACGACCTAGAGCCGGTTCTTATTCGGTATGTGGCAAAGATGAGCCAGCTATAAGGGATACCCTGTATGATCCTTATGCTGCTACTGCTGAAACTCCTTATGGCAGACGATCAAGTCGCGATAGTGCTAATGGCAGACGAGCAAGTCGTGACTATGACTATCGCCTGGGAGCGTACCCTTCAAGTACCGACACTCCTGAGTTTGGCACAAGAGCTAGATCGGGCTCTTATTCGATGTGCGGCAAAGATGAGCCAAGTATAAGGGATACTATCCATAATCGTGATGTTGATACCAATGAATATCGCCTGGCACCATACCCGGACAGCGGGAGACGACCAATACCTGGTGGTCACATTTATGATTACCATGAACCTGAAGGTTCCAGCTCCTACACAGAAAGCCGAGGAGACCATTCATCCATGATGGATACATCCTCTGATCGTCCTCGTGCTGTGGCGACCGAGTCATATCGTATCGGATCCGACTCGCCAGGCAGCAGAGAACGACCAGCGGAAGATGCCGCCGCCACTGCGTCACCCTCTGGCAGTGGGCATCTAATAGCTTCGTCAAGTAGTACTCGAGGCAGATCTCAAGGAACAATGCAAAGCGGTGATGAGTATGTGGAAGTACGTGTTGATCGACGCGCAGAAATACAACTCGAGCCGGCGTTCTGCCTGTCAGGGGCGGGACTGAGCGAAGTCGCAGAGAATGAAGACGGTTTCGTCTTCTCTGTTACACCACCACCGATGCCATCGTCGTCTGAACGCTCATTCTTCAGTCGAATTTTCAAGGTCCGCTATGTTTCAAATTACGCCCACAATTAGGGTCATTTCGCACGTTTTAAAAAATGCTGTGTTTTCTTTTTTATTTCAATTAATCGCGTTAGCTGCTTGCTTCTTGTACGCAAATTTAGTTTTCAACATTTGTGTTCTGTTGTGTCGTCTCGTCTACCTCATCTTTTTATGAATGGCTAGCATCTCTCACACACTTTGATGTAGTACGGTAGTAGCAGTTTTCTTTTTGGTTTTCGGTTAGCGTGAAGGCAAGCTTCATCTAGACCTATGTTGCTAGTAACAAATGTGCTGTGACTTTTCCTCTTCTCTCTGGCACATGACCCTAATTGATAAACGGGCGATAGTGTCAGTGCTTCCGATGGGATGACAGGCGGCTTTGTTCACTTTTTATTTACTAATTTTCCTAATTATCCGGACTTCTTGGCCAAATTTTCCAATAGTCTGGAACAAGCCGTTTGTCATTACTGTCATCTGTGTCTGTGGCTCACTTACACCTGCTTTTCCTCATCTTTTACTCTTGTAGAGTTCGTCAAAGAAATCCAAGAAACAAAAGAAAACCGACAAAGGGGTACGAGAGGCAGATTCGAGCGAATCATCCGGCGACTCAGAAGATGAGAAAAATCAAGTACACATCATGCCCGTTGAGGTTGGGTTTTGAGTTTCTTTTATTTTTTTCTTGGTTTTTCTATTATTAATTTTCTACGGTTCGTTTCCTTGGTCTTAGTTATCTGTTCTAAACCAAGTAATATTTACTCAGCGCTTGGCACACTTGACTCTTTGCACAAAGTCATGATTGACGTATGTGTTGACAAGGCACTAGAGATACCGAAGTGCTGACTGTTGACGAGATCGTCTTTCTCTCTGAGGATCTGATGGGAAATTTTCTGGAAAAGTCGTATGAGGACGGGTTCAAAGAGTCAGGTGGAATGGGAGCTGTGCATTATCTTTCCCAATTTTCATAATAGTTTTTTCTGTAATTGGGTACTGTCTTTGATAAACACCGTTTGGGACAAAAATGCGCTATCTTTC